AGCGATCGGCAACCCGCTGGCCGCCCGCTAAGGAGCAGGGGCTCGCGGCGAGTCGTATTTTGTGTCACTATAGCGATACCAGTAATTTATTTCATTTTGAGTTTTGGCCGGAGTTGCCCTTTGAGTTTGAGAGTTGTGTGTACGCGAATGGCTTAAGCTCAATCGAAGTATATGATTCGACACGGAAGTGGGAGCTAACAGTAAATAATTGTACACCTTGTATTCCCAACACATGGATGACAGCATGATCTTGCTGTAGCCTAGACTATTAAAAAGGGAGTACCCGTCCGCTTTCCCGTAAAGTACTCAATAATTAAATCCCAACAGTATACGAAAGAATCTCGGCGCGCGACTACGCTGGAAAATTAATTTTCACCGCATACCGAGGTCTGCGATGTCACTATGAGCGTGACATTCCACCTGCTCACGTCACGCATAGTATTACATTCCAGGACATTGTGCAATATTTGACAACGAGCCTATAAAGTGCCCGACATTCTAAAAAACAAACAAATAACCGAGACAGCGATGGTGTAAGACCTTTCTTGGTTTTAATGAGTCTATTTTCTCAATTAAAGTTCGAAATACGTTGCGTGAACGCCAACACCCTTCACACTCTTCTCAAACGTGCTGCGGTGTCGCACTCTCTGCCCGGGAGGAAATACGACGACTAAAAAACACGATACAAAGTGAAAGTGGTTGTTGTGATAACAACTGAAACCGGTAAACAGAGCCCAAAAAGATATCCAAATAATACAAACAATTCCTCGTGCGGTGGTGGTGTGGCTGTGCGGAGGGCCGAGTCGGGTGGGGCCGGGGGGCTATCGCGACGAGTGTGCCGGGTCAGCCTGCTTCCTCGGGGTTCGGTGGTCGCTGAGCGCGCGCGGACCTGGCCCCAATTAAAGATCGTTACGCGGGCTGCGACGCGGCGGCGGCTGCCGGCCCGGCTGGTGAGAAGGCGTGCGCCGCTCCCGACAGCCCAAATCGAGAGTATATAAGGGCGGCACACCGACGTCCGAAACACACCGCTCCGTCCTTTGCCAGCAGCGTTGAGGAGAGAAACCACCACTGCCAGCACCATGAAGACCCTGGTAAGAAAAGCGGGGGACTGGTTTTTTTAGAGCGCAGCTCTTAGGGGCCCGTTTCCGGCTTGAGCGGCGTCGCCGTCGGCGTCGGCGTCGCCGTCGCCGTCGCCGTCGCCGTCGCCGTCGGCGTAACCGCGCGGTGCATCATGGGAAATGTCCCATAATGCACCGCGCGAGCCCCCCACCAAGGTCACGTGACCTCGTGGGGGGTCACGTGACCCCCCGAAGTCACGTGACTCCCCTGAGGTCACGTGACCTCCTCGAGGTCACGTGACCCCCGCCGATGTCGCGTGACCCCCCGATGACGTCATCGTCACTGATGACGTCACCGGCATCCACATCGTCATCGTCATCATCACTGATGACGTCACCGGCATCCACATCGTCATCGTCATCATCACTGATGACGTCACCGGCATCCACATCGTCATCGTCATCACTGATGACGTCACCGGCATCCGCATCGTCATCGTCATCATCACTGATGACGTCACCGGCATCCACATCGTCATCGTCATCATCACTGATGACGTCACCGGCATCCACATCGTCATCGTCATCATCACTGATGACGTCACCGGCATCCGCATCGTCATCGTCATCATCACTGATGACGTCACCGGCATCCACATCGTCATCGTCATCATCACTGATGACGTCACCGGCATCCACATCGTCATCGTCATCATCACTGATGACGTCACCGGCATCCACATCGTCATCGTCATCATCACTGATGACGTCACCGGCATCCACATCGTCATCGTCATCATCACTGATGACGTCACCGACATCCGCATTGTCATCGTCATCATCACTGATGACGTCATCAGTGACGTCACGGATGTCGTCACCGGCATCCGCATCGTCATCGTCATCATCACTGATGACGTCATCAGCGACGTCACTGATGACGTCACCGACATTCGCATCGTCATCGTCATCATCACTGGTGAAGTCATCAGTGACGTCACTAATGACGTCATCGGTACCCGCATCGTCATCGTCACTGATGACGTCATCAGTGACGTCAGTGATGACATCATCGGCATTGGGGGTCACGTGACCCCCAAGGTAACGTGACCCCCCCCTGGTTAGTTTAACCCCCCCCCCCCCCCCCCCCAGTGCCCTTCCCTCCTCCTCCTCAAGAGCTGCGCTCTAATTCGGCGTTACAGGGAGTTGTAAGCGGCTTTCATTTTTTTTCTCTCTTTTTAGGCACGTGACACCGCAGACAACTAATATCACCGCTGTGTTTTTTTTTTCTTTTTGTAATCAAGGTATTTTACGATTACGACGAAAACATACGAAAGCTATTTTTTTTTTTTTTTTCATAACACTTTAGCAGAAGGTCTTTGTTTGCAGAAAGCTGCACCCAGAGGAAAAAATGGTTTTTGAGTCGTCCTTTTTTTATTTTCACCCTTCAAACGATACTAGAACAATTTACTCGACTGAAATGACAGTCTGAAGTGATTGTTGTCGATCATTCTTGGTCAGAAAAAAACATTTTTCGAAGCTGCAAGCTGGTGCCATTAGGTTATGGAAAATTGCGACAGAGCAATACATAGCTTGGAAGTCTCGCCACTGGCTGGCTACTGACGGTCATTTTTACTTACTGATTCCTTCGAACTACATTTCCTACGATTTGAAACTAACACGGCGAAACGAACGCTCGCGGAACATAAAATAATTTCATGGCCGCGGATTACGTCGGGTGCAAGCTATGTATTAGAGGCGAGATGTTTTGGCGGCGCACTCCCATGGCTCCCTCTCGCGACGTCATTACCTCGCGAACAACAACTTCTATGGTGTTTGCAATTAGCATGGTGGAAGCTTGAAGTCATTACCCTCTCAAAGCGACACTGCTAACACCGTAAAAATTCAAGCTCTTACATTCCTTTTATTTTCGTCGATGAGAAATTTTCCTGACGTCATAATCAGCATTCGGCCAATCATGGCGGGCCGACCACAGCGACGCTTTTGATCGCGCATGTTAAAGCCCCATCGGTCAAATTCACGCTTCGCGTTTCTTCCAAGTAGCGACAGCCATTGTTGTGCAAACTCGCGAAACACGTGCCTCGAGCGAGTGTTGTGCCGCAATTCGGTTCCAAGTGCCATTCATTTCGGTGCAGCGCCGTCATTTGCTTCCACTGCACGAGGCACGGACCTCGTGTTTTTGCGCATATGACGCCACTTGCAACACAAACCCAAGGACCAAGGAACATGCTGCGAGTTTAGCTAAAGCCTTTCTATCCTGGGAAAAGTGGCGCCATTCATTGTTGTGGAAATGCTCGAGATACGTGCAGCGCGCCACTTTTGGGAAGAATATGGCGTCTGAAACCCTAGCTCAATGCTGGGCTGTGCCGCCATGATCTTCCCAAGGGCTGCACGCTGGACGTGCCTCGTGCATGGACGCACCTTGCGCTGCTTTTGCAACCCTGAAGGGGCTTTAAGTTTTGCTAGACTCACTGAACAGGCTGGCGTGTGCAGCAGGAACTGTTCTATAGAACAGTTCCTGCTGATCCGAAGAGATCCGAAGGAAATAACCAAAACAAGGCGTTGAAGAGCCCGCGTGCTAGAGGCCATGTGTTTTAGGTGTTTGCTTTATAAAGCAAACACCTAAAACACATGGCATCTAGCACGCGGGCTCTTCAACGCCTTGTTTTGGTTATTTCCTTCGGATCTTTTATACGGGAAGGCGAGTACGCGCGGCGCGTAGAATTACACTCTCAGAATTATCCTTGATGCTTGGGTTATTTAGCAATAGGTAAATGCTTGTCTGTGTGTACTGTCAGCGTATCTTGCGCCTTCGCATTTCCAGTCTATCAGCATTGCTGTATTCCCCCATATTTTCATTGCTAAGGGGTGTAGGCCCCGGAACTACGTTTATGCGGCCAGGTTTACCGGTTTCTGGCGCTGTGAAACCCACCTCGAACTATCCGCAGCTTTGGGAGGATACTCCAAACAAATATTCGTCGTCAACTTCGAACTCAAAACCCACTTCACTGTCTCTTTAACCCAATGCTGCGAGGTTGTATTTACATAAGATGGACTTCGCCTTTGATGTCGCTTTTCAGTAGTTCTAAACCGACAGCTTTTAAAACCGTCCCTTTCTATTCGAAAAAAAAAAATGGTGATAGTTTCGCACTTCTGATATAGTAGCAGGAAAATCAAGCTAGCACAGCTCGGCAGCGTGTTACATATGCCCAAGTGTTTCTTTATCAATCTTTCGACAAACTAGTCAATTCGTCGCGCGCTCTGCGTTGTCACTTTCACGTTCATACCCATCTAAAAGCTAGTGTTCAGTAGAACGTTTTCTTCTCCAGCCATAATTTACCGATTTGTCATTTTTTTATGTTCGTTAATATGCACCGTCTCATCTGTATCAAAATGTACACTTCGTTGAGATAGATCGAAAAAAAAAATAGTAACTGGTCATCACGCGATAATGTCAACTCATACAAATAGCAAGCAGTGCCGCACATTCATGGCCATGCCATTGTAGAGCACCAAATAAGTTTATTATTTTTATACCTTGTGAATTCACTTTCCTGGAGATTACGGAGGAAACCCATCACACCGAACCCTACTGAATGACGAAGTGGAGGATACGATTAGATATCAATCTTAATGTGCGCAGAGACAGTGAGGAAGTGAAACGTGCCAGTTATTGGCCCTGCGTACATCGCATTTTTCGGCCTAATATATTCTTATCTTCGTATTTCGCTGGGACCCTGGTATTGTTTGCCGTGAAAGGCTGCCTCCGTGTTCTGCAGGAGACTGAACGCACAAACGTCTTTTGGAGTATACAAACAACTGAAGTGATCAAAGGAAGACTAATAATGAGCGAGAGAAGTGGGTTGCGAGGAAGTATGTGCAAAGGAGCTTCTGAGAGTGTGTGACTCTGGCCAAGTACGGATGTTTATGCCGAGGGTAGGTTCGTCCGCTTTTTTGTGTAGTGGTGGTGGTGACGTCAGAACGCCGAGCTTTGATTGGCTCTCATTGAAGGATAGTGGTATAGACCTCAAGGCAAGCTGCTTTTAGGTCTTCCTGCTAACCTTCAATCAGACCCAATCGGAGCTCGGCGTTTTGACGTCATCATAATCCCTGCAAAAGAAGGAGACGAACTTGCACTCCGCATTGAGATGAACAGAAATCGTATCCCGTCCGTGCTGCGATTTTTCGGCCGAATTATGATCAATTCCATTCTTTTACAGTTCCTAGTTGCCGCCCTAGCCGCGTTGTTCGCCCTCACCAGCGCCGGCTTCGTCGGTCACTACGGAGGCTACGGAGGATTCGGAGGTGGATACGGCGGAGGCTACGGTGGAGGCTACGGCGGAGGCTATGGTGGAGGTCACGGTGGCTACGGTGGCCACGGCGTTCTTGTCAGCTTCGGAGGCCATGGCGGCTATGGCGGCTACGGCGGTGGCTACGGCGGCTACGGCGGTGGCTACGGTGGCGGCTACGGCGGTGGCTACGGAGGAGGTTACGGCCACGGATGGTGGTAGGAGAAGACGAGTCAGCTGTTCATCTGCAATCACATCTTCAGACGCCATGTTTTACTGTAAATAAAGTTTTTAAAGGACAAATCTGGCAGCGTAGTCTAATCAAGTAGGCTCCTTGAAGTATCTGCATGTACTCAAAATGCAATTATCGGGCTTCCTTTAATGGGCTTAGCCAGGGAGATACGCGATACGCCGTTGTGTGAAGAAATAAAATCAAAAGGGGCAGAAGGCGATAATTTCAATACAATGCCAAACGTTGACGTGACCCTCAACGGTGTTCTAGATTTAATTAATAACTTAAAAATTTTCTCATCAGCGAGGTAGGATGGTATCAGGTCTAAATCATCAATATATACTAAAAAAAATCCCGGATGTTTTTTTATCACATATTGTTTCACAAAGTATTTCGTCAGGCCAGTGTACCATCTGATTGGAAAATTGGTAATGTCGATCCGGTTCACAAGGGAGGCTCAAACTCTGACGTGGATAATTATAGGCCCATCCTTGACCAATATTTCATGTAAATTACTGGAACATATAATATGTTTCCATCTTGCAAAATTCTTAGAGAACAATAACTTTTTCTACTCATCAACATTGTTTTCGAAAATGGCTTCCCTGCGAAACGCTATTCTTGCTTTGTTATTTATATTCATTCTAACCTTGATAGAGCCTATCACCGCTGACACCATATTTCTTGATTTTTCAAAAACATTCGAACCTGTACCTCACCAACGTTTACTCCTTAAGCTTTCTGCACTCAGCATTGATCCTGAGTAGTGAAATCACAATTTCACTACTATGGTCTTCGCATCAGCAATAGGTGCCAAAACAACAAGCAGCATGAAAAATCATACCAGAAGTGCGCTAATATTATTCTTGCGTTAGAAACTGAGCCATCGGCCAAGAACTGATGGAATACAGTTTCGCGAGAGAGAACCGCGTTACGGGATATTTGGAAGTAGAATATTTATTTATTTATTTATTTATTTATTCATACTGTTGGCCTTCAGGCTGTTACAAGAATCGGGATATTGGTAAAACAACCAATTTTTAACACATCATTCAACAAACAATACATTTCATGATCGTTTCAGCACAGGAACGCATTCAAAATATAAAGAAACAAAGAAAACAAAAAACACAAAAGATAATTAAGTACTATTTTATTGGGCGATACTTGTCAGGAGGGCTTCGAAACCCTCAACGGTGTCACCTTCAAAATCATCTTGGGGTAGGCTGCGACACTCATCTATAGTCCATGGAAAGAATGAATATTCAAAAGGGTCGATTCGCACTTTCATTGGCGTTATCATTTCATTGTAATTTCTTCGAAGTCCTCTGGTAGTCCGAACCTTTAAATATCGCAGTGAGTCTATGTTGAAACTATTTGTTTGTACCAAATAAAGCAATTTTAGTCATGCTACTTTTCGACGCTCTGCTAGTGATTTCAAGCAGAGATGGGTAAGCATCGCACTGACAGACTGAGTCCTTCGATATTGGGCTGTGATAAATCTGGCAGCTCTTCTTTGTACCTTTTCTAATTTTTCAATTTTTTTTTTCTGTATGGGCCCCACACCGCAATTGTGTATTCTAAGACTGTGCGTACAAATGTTCAATAAGCTGTAAGCTTTACTTCCTCTGTTACTAATTTAAGGTTACGTGTTAGGAACCGCAATGTTCTTTCTGCGGAGCTCGCAACATTGTCGATATGAAATATCCAATTAATATTGTCACAAATAAACATGCGAGAAAACAAAGAATAACTGGAGAAACTGAAACGTTTAATGGGGCGAACTTGTGCCCGAAAAATAAAAGGGTACAAGAGATAATAACAGAGCGTCGCGGGCGTCGAAGTCGGCGTGACAGCAGAGTCGAACGCTGGGGCGAAACTGACCCTTGCTTGACAGGCGGAGCCGCTTTTGTACACGCGTTGGCTTCTGAAGCATTCGACGTAGAAGGTTCGACGCGTAGAACATTCTAAACTCGAAACAGCTAGACGGTTCTCGAATTCACCAGAACATCACATTACAGTGCCAACAAAATGCGTAGCCGCGGCCAGGAATCGAACCCTGGCCCTTCGAGTGGGAGGCAAGCGCGATAACCGTTAGGCTACGGCCGCGCTGCCTACTTGGCGCGCGGCATTAATATCACTCGACACGATTACACTCAGGTATTTAAAATTGCTGACGAACGTCAACGGTTTATCATCAAGCTCGTAGTTATAAGCAACAACGTTTTTAATCTTGTTTGTGAGCCTGGAAAATACAGTTTTTGTTGGGTTCGTTTGCATTTCCGTCCGCTTGCACCACTCATTTATGGTACATTACAATATATAAGGAGCCCTTACAAGGCAGCGACGTTGTTCGACGTAGATCACTTCCACGCACAGAACGATATTTATCGTATAATCTTGCTGTTACCTGCAGGTGTTACAAGGTCCCTTTCTTACCTGGCAGCGTACACCTCCGTCATTCCCATTTTTAGCGTTATAATTTGTTGTAGGTCAATAGGTCAGCTACAAAATTCGCATGATTTGGGGAAAAATTATGTTTCCTATGGTATCTGAATTTTATAACGTCGCTTGGAGGCTCGAATAACCGGTCTCGTAAACGAGGGTCCTATTGCCAGCATTTGTTGTTTTCCTGCATAGTTTAGTGGGCTTACTTCATCTGGAAGACGTGGAAAACGAATTCATACATTCACGCACAAATTAGTTGAAGGCATGTTTCGTGGTTCGTCACTGAATGCTTTGTTCAAAGTGATCTGATCTTTATGATATGTAATTCTAGAGAAAATTAGGCAGTCGTCTGCGAATAAGCGGGTGGTAACTTTAGGGCCAAAGTCGTATGCGATGTCATTAATATAACCTAAGAATAATACGGCTCCCGACACGGACCCCTGGGGAACCCCCGACGTGACTTTTAACATAGCTGATCTGGCACCGCTAACTTCGACAAATCGAGTACGGTTGGTGAGCTAAGCCGTGATCCATCTCAGTACCTTTAAGTTTATGCTGGCGTCTTTTAGATTCTGGATAGGTTGTGCAGGGGGAACAAGGTCGAAAGCCTTTAAAAGGTTTAGACAGATTGCATCCGTCTGGCCCCTTTCATCCAACGAAGTCGTGAAATCGCGTATAGTTTCTGTCAGTTGTGTGACTGTCGATAGCCTCTGCAGGAATACGTGCTGGTTGGGATTAACTAAGTTCTCCAAGTAATCAAAAAGACAAGCCGATAACACATGCTCTAGTATCTTACAGCAGACACAAGTAAGAGAAATTGGTAGGAAATTTTCAACACTATACCTGTTGCCAGATTTATACACAGGGGTGACTCTAGTGGTTAGCCAATCGGTGGGAAGAACACTTTGATCTAAAGATGCACGAGATATGATTGTCAGGTATTCAGACAACCATTCTGCACAACGTTTCAAAAATTCGTTAGGAATATTGTCCGGGCCTTCATGGTTCTATCAAGGTTGCATAAAAGAGAAAAAATAGCTTCTTTTGATATACAGAGGATAAAATCAATCTGAGACGTTTCCACAGAGACACTTTCCAGAGGCGCCACGTTACAATGCGAGTCACGAAGCACCGAGTGAAAAAAAAAATCATTGTATCGAGAAGCCATCTCACCTTGATCGGTAATAATTTCATCGTTCACTTGCGCATATTTTAAAGAATCTCGGGATGGGGCGGGGTGATTCCAAAACCTTTGCAACGAAGTTTCCATGATTTGAGTTAGGGTTTCTGCGTAGTATTTTTCCTTTGCTTGAATTAACTTATTTTTCAGGGTCCGTGAGAGAATTGTAAACCTCGTTTTGATTTCTCGTCTGTTTTTTTTTTCGCTTTCGTTTCATTTTCCGTTTTAGCTGTATAATTTTACGGTTTATCCAGGGGTTATGTTTCCGCACAAATTTGTTTTCTTTTCGGGAAAAAGTGTTTTAAACAATAATTGACAATACATTTAAAACGAAGCCACAAACGATTGACATCCATTGCCCCATGCAATATACACGAAGATACTTCTAGGTGATCCAAAAGGCTTACGTGGTCCGCTCTACTGAAGTCCCATACTCAGATGGGCAGTTTTCTCATATTGTGTTGCGGTAAGGTCACTTTCATGCACAGGAACACAAGCGTATGGTCCGGTTGGCCATTCTCCACTGAAATTGAGTGTTTTCATGCGTGGCTATTAATGAATATGAGATCAAGCAATGATTCCCGCCTCGTGCTCTCGCTCACAATTTGTACAAGTCCATTTCCAAATGCGATACCCAAGAGAACTTCAGAGCTTTTACATTTTTTTACATCAGTTTGTCCCGTGTCCAGTTCAACCCAATTCATTTCTGGAAGATTAAAGTCTCCGGCAATAATAACGCAGGAGTTCGTTTCAATGTTATTCGTTAAATAATCCTGAACTGCCTCCAGGAAAGACACAGAGTGATTCGGGGCTTGTAGACGGCTCCAATGATAAAATAAGCGCCTAGAAAGTTTATTTTGCTCCAGACACTTTCGTTATCTGGGATATCTGGTATTCGAACGAAGTCAATGCTTTCTTTCCGTATTATAGAAACTCCTCCGCCATGTGCCGCGCGGTCATTACGTATCATTTTATACTTCGGCGGGAGCAGTTCACTATCAGTTATCTTAGGACGTAACCAAGTTTCAGTAAGTATAACCACATCAGGACCGTAATGAATAAGCAAGTGTTCTAGCTCCCCTACTTTATTTACAAGACTCCGCGCGTTAACATTGATCAGCTTCAAACCCTTGTTTAAGTTATTTGGTCGTCATTCAGGCGTGTCTTGTTTTGACGCCTCGGTGGCAAGCTTTATTCTACAATCTCTTTCGTCGTCCCACGAATACATTTCCTTATCGATCACAATCTTATCGTGAACAAGCCTTACATACACCCGCTTTTCTTTGTCACTTCTCGCGCTCTCCCATAATTGCTTTCGTCTTCTTAAAGTGACCGGCGAATAGTCGTTAGATACAGATATTTTGGTTACTTTTAATTTTTGCAGTTTCTAAACACTTCGAGCTTATCGTTATAGTCATAAAACTTTACGATAAT